ACCAGTGTGGCAAGAACTGGGAGCAGGAGAGAGAGAATTAACTGGTTAGGTCAATAGAAATGGATTAGCTTGTGGAGGACCTAGCAGTCATGCTGAGGAATTAGACTTTTATTTAAGAGTATAGAATGTATTTGATGTGGTTTAAGCAGAGGTATGAAGCTATTTGATTTTTAAAGTATATCTATGATTACTAGGTGGATAGTAGAATTAGAGATAGCAATTAGGAAAACACTTCATAAAGTCAGGAGAGAGAAGGGAGAAAATTCAATTCTTTGGAATTGGAACTTATGGGACTTTCAGATGGAGTCACCAAGATGCTGGCTAGAAGACTTGGGTAGATGGCTATGCCCTTTCCTAACACAGGAAAACATTCCAAACCCATCTTGTCTAACAATAAGCAATTTGGTTTGTTCAACTTTGAAATGAAGATGTTGAGAGAAATGGAATAGATGGACAAGACACCATTTCAGCACTAAAATATCACACTTTTACCAAACACTAGGGCTTGACTATGTTTTCCTTGCTTTCCATTAGGAAAACAGCATAAGTTTTGGAATGACAGAAGCTAGGATTCAAATAAAACCTCCACAGAGCCATGTGACAAATTGCATTTGTTTGCCTCAGTCTCCTCATTTGCAAAATGGAATTATCAGAGAGACCTGCCTCACTAGCAATATCATTATGTAAGGCCCCTGCAATATAATGGTGCAGTTAAGCACACATTCTTCTCCTGACAGACTTGGCTTCATTTCTTCTCTTCTTTCATTCACTTCACTTTGTACAACTCCTAATTCGGTAACTTCTCATTTCCTCTGAGGTTAAAATAACTCCAAGATTGAGGACTTCCAGAGCACAATTGTCCTATGTCCCTTCCTCCCGATGATGGTCTCTTTGGTCCTCTCAGACATCTCAGCTGGATGCCACGCATTGCAAGGTGAGGCAACACAGGCAGCTGGGGATGAGAGGTTACCAACACCAGGTGTTTAACATTTAAGCTTAACTTCAATTTCTACACCTCTCCCTGTTTGATGGATCTGAGAAGGGAGAACGTGAACAGCAAGCACTCCATCTGAGAAGAAAAAGGGAAGGAACACTTTGGGCTACTGGTGAGGCCAGTCTGAAATCTCACCAATATGCCTTTTCTGCTGATGACCATGTTGCCAGACATTTAGAGGAACAAGACAGACAAACTACAACAAGGGATACTATGGTCTTATCGGCTGCCTGTGCCACATGTTTAGTTACCCCAAACTCAGAGTTTAGTAAAGAATGATTCACTTTTTTTCATTTATGCCTCTCCTTTTCATTTATCTTATCACTCCATTCCCACCCCACCCCTAGAAAGAGTTTCCCAATAAAAGAGTTCTCCAAGTGTCCACCAAAAGGTTTTTGAACATTTCTTGCTATCCAGCCAGAAACTCCTGTGGTTTCTGCTCTGGCAGCTAGAGGGCAGTGTAAGTCTCTCCACCCTCCCTTAGCCTCCTCACACACTGCTTCTTGTGGCCTCCCAGCTAAGGGCATAGTGAGAGAAGACACACTGGGGAGTGGGGGTAGATAACCATGTTCCAGAGCAGCAGAGGGAGAGAGAGAGACTTGAAGAAAAATAAGCACCACTTAGGTCACACATGGCCTTTCTGGCCTCTGGCTTCCTCCTGGCTCACACAGTAGTAGCTGCCTTCATGCTCATCCCCAGCAACCTCACCTTCCCTCAACTTGCTGGACATCCTCTCCCTACACCCAGTTTTTCAAATTCTTCACCTATGAGCTCATGTCAGCCTCACCCTTTCAAGTTTACACACAAACTCACTGGGCACCTCCCTTAAGGTCATGCTGACAGGCCTCTGGACCTCTCCACCCTGTGTTGGCCCCTCAGGCCTCGTGGCTCTGGCTGGAAGAGGTGACTCGCTCTTAGGGCTTGGCGTACTATAACAAGGTTGGCCACACCAGCAGAGCCTAATTCCAGAGAGGCTGGCTGCTGGAGGGCTGCCAAGCGCCACAGGCAGGGAGGAGATAATATGTGAGTAAACCACAGAGCCCAAAGCACGAGTGCCCAAGATGCCACCAAGGGTCACAGGCGAAACAGGAGCAGCTGGTTTTGGTGGGCAGGTCCAGGTGTGGAACTAGAACCAGGATGAGAGAAGCAACGATAACATCACATCACCTTACAATTACAGAGAGCACTGTGCTTCCTAAATCTCACTCAGAATACCCTGCTTTACCTGTTACTTTGTGTAAGAAGGGCACGTATTATGGATACCCTTTTGATAAGTGAGAAAACTGAGCCCACTGGAAGGTCAAGCAGTTTGTTCAGATTGCAGACATTAATGACAGAG